GTCATGATCTAATGCTCTGATGGATCCTGGGACGAAGAACAGAACCTCTATCAGCCAAATTATAAACACTTAAGCAGCACTAGCCCGTTTCTTTTTTCCACCTATAGTTGCACGAATTGATAACGGGGTAGGTTTGGAGCTTCCACCTTCCACAGCTCTGTCGATGTTACTGCCACATGCTTGTGCTAAGGAAGCCTTTACCTCACCTTCTGTTTCCTGGTGGTGACGTTGCTGGGTCCATTTGTGGTAGAGGCAGGTGCAGGTCTATGAAGCTGATTTTCTGAGGATTGTTCCTGTGTTGAATCTGATTCTCTTTAACGTTCTTCTTCCCTTTCATCCCACTCCAAGACACATCTCCACAGCTAAGCTCTAGCCCTATCTCCTTCATAAATCCTTCCATGGTCACTCAAGAGCATAGTGATCTCTTCTTTCATCTATTTCTTTTGTAACTTATAAAACTCACTTCGTCTATGGTGTTTTCGTGAGTATATATATTTCTGAAAATTAGATAGTATGGTCCCTGGTGGCAGAGATGGTGGCTTACGTTTTTCTTAATAAATGTTGTGGTCTGGATAGCTTCTGTTCTGATGCTGGAGAAATAACCACAGCTGGGGAGCACCATCTCTTAAGTCCGTGATTTGGGGCCTCCAGGAAGTCAGTGGAAGCTCTAAGATGACTATTTACGGTAGTTTTGCCCTGAAGCTGGGAGTCAGTTACTTTTCTGTACCCAGACTCTACCCCTAGTTTTTTAAAAGGCACTGGGAAAACACTCAAACAATAAAAAGGATCAGGAATTCTTAACTGAAAACAATGATGATATTAGTGTCATTTGTACTTCCAATCCTAGCTTGCACCAGCAACATATGTGTACTGGGAAGTTTTGATTCTGGGTCAAGCTGAGTTGAAACTTGGACTGAAGTGTGGCCATAGTGATACCCTGAGACATCAGATAGTCGTCTCAAAAATGAAAAACCAGCTTCTCTTGTTCTCCTTGAAGCATGCTTATTTTCTTGGAAAACTTATTTTACAAAAGAGAAAACTTCAAAGAAAATACTTTAGATCAATCAGGGAACTTAATACCTGAGAGGGGCTGGGCTTTCCTTCTGACCATAGTTATTTTAAGTGGTCCCCAGGCTATTCCACAATTTAGGGAGGGAAGGGCCAGAGACAATCCTATAGGACTGATAAAGAACTTGCCCAGGGTCCCTATGACGGCCGTCCTTTCACAGTCTCTTGTACATCTCACCTCATTTTATTTTATTTTATTAATTAATTTACTTTGACTTTTTATTTTTTTTTTGAGATGGACTCTCACACATTGTCACCCAGGCTGGAGTGCAGTGGCAAGATCTCGGCTCACTGCAACCTCCACCTCCCGGGTTCAAATGATTCTCCTGCCTCAGCCTCCTGAGTAGCTGGGACTACAGGCATGCGCCACCACGCCCAGCTAATTTTTGTCTTTTTAAAGCAGAGATGGGGTTTCGCCATGTTGGCCAGGTTGGTTTTGAACTCCTGACTTCAGGTGATCCACTCACCTCAGCCTCCCAGAGTGCTGGGATTACAGGCGTGAGCCACCACGCCCAGCCTCACCTCATTTTAGAATTCCAAAATCAATATACTCCTAGGAAGTGTTTGGTTTGTAAACCAAGAATAAAATTTGAAGGCCCGACGACCATCTGGATGGACTTCCTCCTCTAGGCCAGGGCCCTCTAAGTTTAACCTGAAAGACTGGTTCAGACCAACACGGGAAGTGGGGGTTCGACATGCCTCCTCGTACCCCGCCAGCATGAACATCAACACAGACCTTCAGTCTGATAAGAGACATTCACAGTCGACTCTCTCTGAAGCCTGCTACCTGGGGGCTTCATCTGCATGATTAAATTTTGGTCTTCACAACCTCTTATTATAACCCAGAGATTCCTTTCTATTGATAATAACTCTTCCAACCAATTGCCAATCAGAAAACTTTTACATCTACGTATAACCTGGAAGCCCCCACCACCTTCAAGATGTCCCGCCTTTCTGGGCTGAACCAATGTATAATCTTACATGTATTTGATTGATGTCTCATGTCTCTCTAAAATGTATAAAACCAAGCAGCTTCGCCCTGACAGCTTGGGCTTGTATTCTTGGGATCTTCTAAGGGCTGTGTCATGGGCTGTGGTCACTGGTATTTGGATCAGAAAAAATCTCTTCAAATAGTTTACAGAGTTTGACTCTTTCATCGATAGGTTCTTACTTGGAGTCAGGGTGCATGTCAGCCTAAATCCTGTACTATTTTTCTCCATCTCATGTTCTATTGAAGAGTAGACTCTATAATGGCTTAGAATGGCAACTTACAATGTATGTATATTTTTGGGTGGGGAGATAAAGCAGGGAATGAGCTTAAAAGAGTTTCTCTTATACGTTTAGTCTTCAAGATGGAAATATCTGCATTTTGTTAAGACTTGAGGTAATACAGAAAAGTTTAAAGGACAAGATGTCAATCAAAGGTAACAGCCATTGATTAGCACTTTGATGCACGTTCTATGCATAAAAACACTTACACTTACAAAAATGGGATCGTGTTACATATAGTGTTTTGTTACCTGATTTCGTCACTTAAAATTGTGTCAGGAACATATCTCTCAGGATAGATTAGGTTATGCTGTGGTACCCAACAATCCCCAATTCTCAGTGTCTTAAATAACAAACTCTACGTCTTGCTTATACACCTTGTCCATCTTGGGTCAGCAGTGGAGCAGCTCTGCACCTGTTGGTCACTGTGAACTTGGGCTTCATGGAGCAGCCATTACCCCAAACATTACTAATTACTGTGCTGAAGAAAAGGCAGTTCTGGAACGCTGAACGTTAACTTAATGCTTGGCTCAGAAGGGACTAAAGTTACTTACATTCATAACTTATTGGCCAGAACTAGTCACATGACACTATCTAGCCACAAGGACTAATCCCTCTGGCAGAGAGCTAGGAAGGTATTTGGAGAACAACAATGAAGTCCAGTAAAGTGAATGTTGATTCATGTTAGTGAATGTAGGTGCAGGTCCTTATTTTCAGTAGCTGTGTGGTAATTAATCAATGTATCATAGTCTACTTAACTGAACCACATTTTCAGGGCATTTTAGGCTATTTGTAATTATGAGCAATTGTTTTAGAAGTAGCCAAGAATTTTCTTTTGTGTTCATTTCTTTTTTCTATCAGTATTTTCCTCCCTTATGATGCTTTTCTGTAAGCAGAATTTATAAATTAAAAGATTGCATACTGGTGGGAATGCAAAATGTTACAGCCACTTTGGAAAACAGTTTGGCAGTATCGCAAAAAGTTAAACTTGGCCAGGCACGGTGGCTCATGCCTGTAATTCCAGCACTTTGGGAGGCAGAGGCGGGCGGATCACGAGGTCAGAAATCCAGACCATCCTGGCCAACATGGTGACACTCCATCTCTACTAAAATACAAAAATAAAATTAGCCATGTGTGGTGGTGCGCATCTGTAGTCCAGCTACTCAGGAGGCTAAGGCAGGGGAATTGCTTGAACCTGGGAGGCGGAGATTGCAGTGAGCCAAGATGGTGTCACTGCACTGCAGCCTGGGCAACAGAGCAAGACTCTGTCTCAAAAAAAAAGAAAAAAGAAAGAAAGAAAAAGGCTGGCACGGTGACTCACACCTGTAATCCCAGTGCTTTGGGAGGCTGAGGCAGGCGAATCACGAGGTCAAGAGTTTGAGATCAGCCTGGCCAACATGGTGAAACCCCATCTCTACTAAAAATACAAAAAATTAATGGGGCATGGTGGCAGGCACCTGTAATCCCAGCTATATGGGAGGCTGAGACAGGAGAATTGCTTGAACCTGGGAGGCTGAGGTTGCAGTGAGCCAAGGCCGTGCCACAGCACTCCAGCCTGGGCACAGAGCGAGACTCTGTCTCAAAAAACAAACAAAAAAATAGACATGAAGTCTAGGCATATTTCTTACGTTTTTGATCTACATTGTAAAACTGCCCTCCAGAAAAGAAGGAAAACTTATTACTCCCAGCAATATTAGTTTACACTTCTATTAGTTAATGAGATTTGCCATGAGTGACATCCATATAACCAGCTAAGACCTTTAAATTAGTCCAGAGGGGCTAGTTAATTAATTATTAATGAGTTTTTTAAAATATAATTTTTGGCTGGGCACAGTGGCTCATGCCCATAATCTCAGCACTTTGAGAGGCTGAGGTGAGAAGTTCGCTTGAACCCAGGAGTTTGAGACCAGCCTGGGCAACATAGCGAGACCCTGTCTCTACAAAAAATACAAAAGTGAGCCCGACATGGTGGCTCATGCCTGCAGTCCCAGCTGCTTGGAGTCAGGGGATGGCTTGAGCCAGGGAGGTTGGGGCTGCAGTGAGCTATGATCACATCACCACACTCCAACTTGAGCTGTAGAGCGAGGTCATGTCAAAAAAAAAAAAAAAAAAAGATGATTTTATCACTTTCCCACATCCCTCCCCTGCATGCAGAAGAATATAAGAAATCATCCAGAAAAGACACAATGAAGAAAATTCAAGATAAGTTCAGTTTTGCTTCCAGAGTTTCCTGGAGTTTTAAGTTGAATAGTGAGCCCATTGGAATTAAGACTGACTACCTGTACTTATTGTAATAGACACAGTAGCAAAGAGTTTAACTTGAAGCCCCAAATAAAATGAAACAGAATACAAAGACTCAATCTTTTTGTTCCTGTCATTTCATCCATCTCCTCTTACAGATAGAAGAAAGAGGTGACGAGGTAGAGGGACGTCATGGATTAAGAGTCAGCCAGCTCTCACAGGGCTGAATTCGAATTCTGGCCTGGAAACAAACTCCCTGAAAAAAGTCAAAATGGCTTTTCAGGATAGATAGGGCTTTTGGTGAATTTGAATAGATTTTAACCCCCTTGTATAACTCATGTAAGAATGACCTCACAATCATATTTCATGTCTCTTCTCTTTTTTTTAAAATCACCTTTTTAACAGTCTCTTCTCTTTTATAGGATGGACTCAGGATCCCGAGGCAAGTCAGACTGTTGCAGAGGCTGGTAGGTATACTCATGGTGCATCTTGAAAGCCCATTCCCTCATTCTTCTATTTATTTTGAACCAGGTATCCACTTTGTGTGCAGATCCTCCAAAACATATAAAGTTGTTTGCAGAAAAATTCTGAGGTGAAGCAGCATAGCTGAATCTTTTGTAAGGCTTTCTTTAAGGGGATTTTTTTTTCTTTTTTCTGGAAGGAGACGTGATTGTTTCGGTAGGACTATAAACACAAAGATCTTTGCAGGCTTATTTTTTTTAAAGCCTAAATATAACTGTTATTTATTTTTCTGACATCCTTACCCAGGAAATAAGAGCTTTGTTGTGAAGTAAACAACTAAAGCAACCAAAGAATTCACATTTGTAAGCTAAAGCATCACGTGATGAAAGTTGGACAGGCTCTCAATGCATGCTGGAGGCTAAGAGATTGGGACTTGGGCAAAGGGTCAGTAACTCTAAGAGCTTATTTGAAACGACCTCAGTTCTTCCTTACTACTGTGCATGGAGCGAAATATCAAAATGTAGAGACATGCCTTTAGACTCTGCTGAGGCATTTATCCTAGCCCTCCCTGCACCTGGCTGGTGTTTGACTGAATTCAGATTTCTTGTCATTACCAATATCACGATCATGACCATCCTTGTTTGGATTGAGATTTTGGATTAAAAAAATATTTTTTTTGCTTGGCTTTCTTATCTCCTTTCCTTCTTCTGATCCTCCCAATCTTGCCTCCTGTTACCCCAAATTCATTAGCCTAGTATTCCTTCTTTCACGTTTTCTCCATGTTCACATAATCTTAGACAATCATATATGTACATAAACATATCAAGAATTGTTAAAGGGCGGAGATTAAAGCTACTTACACGCTAATAAGCTAGTTTGTTACCATTTCATGGATGCCAGCAGAAAACAGGAGACTCCTGGGTCAGAGACAAAGGACAATTTATTACTCACAGTAACAGCAGTAGTCAAAGCACGTGTGCCATTCCCCCAGCCCAGTTCCCAGAAGGTGATGGAGACGGCCAGATGACATCTGCCATGCAGTGGGTTCGCATTGTGTGAAAGGAGCCCTTAACTTAGGGAACTTGACTCTTTAATAACGAGCACTAAGCCTGCCTGGGCTTTGCTCCTGGAGGGAGATATTTGCTTTATTATTCTGCACATTAAGCCAATCTGTCTTCTTCCCTGAAGGGGGAAGCTGTCTTCTGAGGCTGTTCACTATACGTTCGTAATGAAGGTAGTTCCCAGCAAAGGCAGCTGGAGTCTCTGTTTGCAAATTGTGCGGAAACACCAGAGATTCATGGAGAATAGCCTCCCAGCAATATGTACATACATGTAAATTGTAAGCATACTGATAATTGAGACGATGACAAGTACCACTGAGAAACAGAATGCAGCACGGGAACCCGAGGTACATCTGCACACGGGAAACCTCTGATCATTGCTCTAAAACCATGGGTGCGTGTGACAGCTCATGCCAACCAAATGCTTACGGAGTCTCACTCTTGTCGCCCAGGCTGGAGTGCAGTGGCGTGATCTCGGCTCACTGCAACCTCTGCCTCCTGGGTTCAAGAGATCCTTCTGCCTCAGTCTCCCGAGTAGCTGGGATTACAACCATGCGCCACCACACTTGGCTAATTTTTGTATTTTTAGTAGAGACGGGGTTTCACCATGTTGGCCAGGTTGGTCTCGAACTCCTGACCTCAGATGATCCTCCCGCCTTGGCCTCCCAAAGTGCTGGGATTACAGGCGTGAGCCACTGTGCCCGCCCCTCAATTACTCTTATAACAAGTACTTGAGGCATTTTACAGATGAGAAAACGGAGTCAGAGTGAGTAGTTTTCCCAAGATGACACAGCTGGGAAGAGGTGGTAGAGCCAGGATCTGAGTGTAGTTCAGTGTCTGAGTCCATGCTCTTAACTAATACACCAAATGGGCCTCTCAGCTGTATGTATTTAAATCTCTATTTATATTTATATGTATTATAATTTACTAAACATTCTGCTATTGATGAACTCTCACTTTATTTCCAGGTTTTTTCACCCTGTATACTATGCTTCAAAAAACAGTTTCATTTCTTCTTTTATGCGGGTACTTTTAACTGTATGACTTTTATTTTCAATAGGAGGATTACTGATTCAAAGTGCATATACATTTTAAATTTTACCGGGCTCAGTGGCTCACGCCTGTAATCTCAGCAGTTTGGGAGGCCGAGGGGGGTGAATCACCTGAGGTCTGGAGTTCGGTACCAGCCTGGCTAACATGGTGAAACCTCGTCTCTACTAAAAAATACACAAATGTGCCAGATGTGGTAGTGCATGCCTGTAATCTCAGATACTTGGGAGGCTGAGGCAGGAGAATTGCTTGAACCTGGGAGGCGTAGGTTGCAGTGAGTAGAGATCGCGCCACTGCACTCCAACTTGGGCAACAGAGCAAGACTGTCTCAAAAACAACCTTTTTTTCTTTTTTGATAGATGTCAGATTAATTTTTGAAATACAATTACTCTTAACACTATCTGTATTCATACTATATCAGCAATGATGAATACACACATTTCTGCAAGCAGTTGATATAATTACTCTTTTTTTTTTTTTTGAGACGGAGTCTTGCTCTGCCACCCAGGCTGGAGTGCAGTGGTGCGATCTCGGCTCACTGCAAGCTCTGCCTCCCAGATTCATGCCAGTCTCTTGCTTCAGCCTCCTGAGTAGTTGGGACTACAGGCTCCCGCCACCACGCCCGGCTAATTTTTTGTGTTTTTAGTAGAGATGGGGTTTCACTGTGTTAGCCAGGATGGTCTCGATCTCTTGACCTCGTGGTCCACCCGCCTCAGCCTCCCAAAGTGCTGGGATTACAGGCGTGAGCCATGGTGCCTGGCTGATATAATTACTCTTTTTAATTTGTTAGTCTCTTACTTAGGAAGTGATATCTCCTTGTTCCGTTAACTTGCCTTTCCCTGACTATGTACAAATTTGGAATTTTTTTCTTTTATTGCTCAAACCATTCTCCATAACAGGGATTTGGAAATTTTAAATTATATTTGTTAGCCATTCAGAGTTGTTCTGTGAATTGCTTTTTTTTTTTTTTCAGGTCCTTTGCCCGTGTTTCTATTGTGTTTTTTTATCTACCTCATTGTCAATTTATCAGAGACCTTTGTATGTTATAGATACCTTCCGTCTTCTAAATTGGAAGATTTCCTCTCTAAATCTGTCAGTTATTAACTTGCTTTCTGGTATGTTTGCCACGTAAAAGTGCTCAGTTCCTAAGTAATAAGCAGTTTATGTTTTCCTTTCAAACGAAAGGAAAAAGAGGCTTTGTACATTTAGCCTCTAAGTGTGCAAAGATTTTCTTAACTCCTTGGCTTAGACAATTTATACAACCTCTTAGGTTTTTCTTAGAAATTTCTTAGAATTTTGAAAGTCTTACTTTTACAAGTATCATGAATTTTTAACATGAATGTTATTGACCATCCAGTCGGTACTAGAATGATCTTTCCAGTGGTAGACCTGGCGCATCACTCTCTTGCGTGCCTGTCTCCAGTGACTCCACATCACCCGTGGGATAAGCTCCAAGGACGTGTGTGACCCTGCGTGATGCTCCTCCTGCTTCCCTCTGGAACTCAGTTCATCCTATGAGTCTCCTTCTAGCCTGCATTCTTGCCATCTCCCTCCAGTTGTCATTCTCTGAGTGTTCTGTGCTTGAATTAATCAATAGAATGTGGATGGCAACAGCTGGTACTCCCGTAACATTGCCAGGACCGCAGGAATTTGTTTGATTTTATTCTGAATTAATTAGATACCCTTTTTATGAAGCTCCCTGGCATCACATACACACAAAATATTTACTCTTTGGAAAGCAGGGGCATCTTTGTGTGTGAGTTTCCATGGTGCTGAACAGATCCTGGCCTGGGTTTCCCAAGATGATTCTCTGCCATCATTTAACCTCCTGACTGCAGGGTCTGTCTCGGTGTCTGCTTTGCAGCTGGTGTTGTACAGTTTGTGCTCAGGGTTTGTTTCTATCGAGTGTGGTAAGATACGCAGACACAGAAATGACTGACGTGAAGGAGGAATTTCATACTCATGATCCCTGGAGGCAGGGGCGACAGCATACCATGCCAGGACACATGGGGAGGCGCCAGGGTGGGCCAGGAGCAGAAGGTGCAGAGGAAAGTGTGTGTCTCAGAGCCTACATTGGGGATTTCATGGGAAGAAATGGGCAAGGCGGGGTAGTAGGTAGGCTGAAGAGGTTTAGGATTGGCTGTAGGGATGGTCCCTATTGTCAGGTACTTCATCCTGGAGAGATTTAGGATAGGAGGAGTACTGGCTTCGTACATGAGTTTTATTTTTTATTATTATTATTTTTTTGAGACAGAGACTCACTCTGTGACCCAGGCTGGAGTGCAGTGGCACGATCTCGGTTCACTGCAACTTCCACCTCCTGGGTTCAAGTGAGTCTCATGCCTCAGTCTCCCGAGTACCTGGGATTAGAGGCCTCCTGAGTACCTGGGATTACAGGCGCACATCACTGCACTGGGCTAATTTTCATATTTTTAGTAGAGACGGGTTTTGCCATGTGGGCCAGGCTGGTCTCAAACTCCTGACCTCAGGTGATTCACCTGCCCTGCCCTCCCAAAGTGCTGGGATTACAGGCGTGAGCCACTGCGCCCAGCCGAGGTGCGTGAGTTTGATATGGGAGATAGTTGGATGTGTGGCTCTGGATTGGTCGGTTTATGTATCAAAGGTGTGTTTGCAGCAGGGTTGTCTGCTATTCCTAGGAAGGAGCCAGCCCTGGGAGGGACGGTCTTTCGAGGATCAAAGCCCCAAATGCCAGAGCGTCAAGAATATAGACAACAAGAAAATGGTCAATACAGCAGGTAGCATGACTCTGGGCGTCATACCTCACTGAGGACTAGTCATATGTGTGTCTGTGCCTGTGCCCAACTCTGACCATTGTGGGGCATCCTGTTCAGGAAGTGTATGGAATGGGGTGGGAGGGGGGGCGTCTTTCTTAT